TAAAGTTCTACTTCAATATTATACCAGGTACTTTGGAGTGTACTTTTCAGAAACTTTTTTTTTTAACAGCATATTTTTTTTCTATTGTGCCTCTTCTTAGTATATCAGAAAGCTTACTTTTGTTTACTATTTCCAAATTATTAATTGTTATTCGGGAAGCTGTATACTGTTTGACAAGAGCTAGACCGACAGAGAAATACTGATTTGTATTTAGCATGTATTTGTACAATTGTTTAAAAGGAATAATGGCTTTTAAAAAGTAAGAATGAAAGAGATTAAACAGGGGACTGTGGCAGCATTCCCAACAATTTTTTTTCATATCTGTTTGTATTTGCCAATCATAGAAACTCCCTTATCGTATCCTATCTCTTTCATGGAGGCACAAAGTAAGAATCCTTCACAAGAGAGCTCTCTTTTTCTTGTTTCTTCAGCCCAGTAAATAAGTATGCATGGATTTTTTTTAATACATTTATCAGTGTTTTTTTTTCTAGCTGGCACCCCAAACAGTGCCCAGCCAGCATGATACTATGCATGGGTCTTTTTTTACTTGACATCATTGTATTTTTTCCCCTCCATAAAATTAATTCCTGTATAGAGTTTGAATGGGGTTAAAAAAAAATCAATTAGCTTTTACTTGGAAAATCTTTTCCTGTCTTATATAGAATAATGATTTTTTTTTCATCTGTCAAGGGGGTTATTAATAAATGTCACCAGTGGGGTTAGAACATTCTCTGGTGTTTGCTTTAGGGGAACAAGGGGATTGTTGGAAATCCTAGCCAAACTGAACCGTAATTAGAGAGAAAATGTTAGCAATTAGAACTATACGTTAGGCTTTAATTTACTACCATGGTAAAGTCAAGGGTGGCATTTCTATTCCATTTTTAGGTGCAGCCAGATGGATTGCTCATTACAGGGTAATTTTCACCGACCCTCTGCACTTCTCAGGGTAACAGAGCAGCTGAGAGTACTGTGCAACTCAGTGGCTCAGATTTTATTTCATTTTTTGTGGGGGTGGAGAGTCGGGTAGGAGGTTGAGTAGTTATCAATTTCCTACATAGTCATTGACATTATTGCAAATCTTTGTACATGCTGAATAATTTTAGGCCAGGAAAGCAGTTTGGTAACATAAGTACATTAATATAATTTACTTTTCTACCTTGCCCTGCATGTGTTGGTTATACTAGCGTATTTTAGCAATCTTCACCTTTTAAAGTCCCCTCTTCCGTGTTTCTACTTTTGGATTTTCCTAGCAACCAAAATGAACATTTTACGTTGCCATTAAGAAAAGAAACTACACACAATGTCTCAAAACCCAAATAATATAGCTGTAATTGAATTCTAGTCTAATTCCAGTAAAGCTTTGGAGGCCACAAGGTGATATATTTTTGATGATGTGGGATACACTTTATAATTTTTTCTTTTTGTCTCACAATCAAATGCCATTTCTTAGTTACATGTTTTATCCAATTAAATAAAATGAATTTGGTGCCAATATTGTAATGAGCATTTAAGATAAGTGCATTTACTTTAGGGTTGCAATATTTTCATGGTGGAAATAAATCTTCTTTTACTTTATATTATAACGTGTCAGAATCAGTCACAGTTTCCTTTGCTTAAGAAAATACAGGTCGGGCGCGGTGACTCAAGCCTGTAATCCCAGCACTTTGGGAGGCCGAGGCGGGTGGATCACGAGGTCAAGAGATGGAGACCATCCTGGTCAACATGATGAAACCCCATCTCTACGAAAAATACAAAAAATTAGCTGAGCATGGTGGCGCGTGCCTGTAATCCCAGCTACTCAGGAGGCTGAGACAGGAGAATTGCCTGAACCCAGGAGGCGGAGGTTGCGGTGAGCCGAGATCGCACCATTGCACTCCAGCCTGGGTAACAACAGTGAAACTCCGTCTCAAAAAAAAAAAAAAAAGAAAGAAAGAAAATACAGTTGCAGATGCCTTTACTATATTTTATTTATGGAGATAAAATATAAAGAACATAAAATTTACCATTTTAACTGTTTTTACGTATACGATTCAGTGGTATTAGTACAGTCACACTGCTGTGCAAACATCATCACCATCCATCTTCAGAACCTTTTCATCTTCCCAAACTAAAATGTTGTACCCATTAAACAATAACTCCCCATTCTCCCCTTCTTAGGGAAGTACCAGGTAAAACAGGAATCATATCATATGTAGCCTTTAGTGCCTGGTTTATTTTACTTGCATAATGTCATCAGGATTTATCTATGTTGTCAGTATTACCTTCCCTTTTCATGCTAAATAATATTTTATTACGTGTGTATCATAAAGGGAAGGTTCCTTCCTTCCTTCCTCCCTCCCTCTCCCTCTCCTTTTTTTTCCCCTCTCTCTCCCTTTCTTTGTCTCCCTCCCTCCCTCCCTCCCTTCCTTCCTTCCTTTCCTTGACAGAGTTTCACTCTTGTCACCCAGGCCGAAGTGTGATGGCACCATCTCAGCTCGCTGTAACCTCTGCCTCCTGCGTTCAAGCAATTCTCTTGCCTCAGTCTCCAAAGTAGCTGGGATTACAGATGTGTGCCACCATACCCGGCTAATTTTGTATTTTTAGCAGAGATGGGGTTTTACCATGCTGGTTAGGCTGGTCTCGAACTCCTGACCTTGATTGATCTGCCCCCCTCAGCTTCCCAAAGTGCTAGGATTACAGGCATGACCCACCCTTTATTTATTTTATTTTATTTTATTTTAGAGACTGAGATTTGCTCTTGTTTCCCAGGCTGGAGTGCAATGGCATGATCTTGGCTCACTGCAACCTCTGCCTCCCGAGTTCAAGCAATTCTTCTGCCTTCAGCCTCCCAAGTAGCTTGGACTACAGGAATGCCACTACACCGAGCTAATTTTATATTTTTAATAGAGACAAGGTTTCACCATGTTGGCCAGAATGGTCTTGAACTCCTGACCTCAGGTGATCCACCTGCCTCTGCCTCCCAAAGTGCTGGGATTACAGGCGTGAGTCACCTCTGGAAGGCACCTTTATTTTAAGTACTTTACATGTATTTCCTAAGGCTGTACCTCCATACTGATGTCTTGCTTGTATTCTGCTATCTGCAGCTAATATCTGTTAACAAAGCCTGGCGGGCCTCACCACCGTTGATACGGCTGAGAAAAAGGCTTGGTATGTTTTGCCTCCTGACAGGTTCATCAGAGGCAGTTCAGACAATGAACAAAGGAAAATATCCAATCCTTCTATTAAAAATACCAGTTAGAGAGCAACCATGTAAAAGTAATTTTTGAGTCATGACAGGCAGAGAAAAGTAGTTAATTTTGCTCTCAGGTAAATATTAAGACAGTATTACTAAAAACATTTGCATTCATAATTCATTACAGTTATCAATGGTCGAAAAATTCAAACAACTAAGTATCTTAAATTTTCTTTAAGGATCAGAAAACCAGAAATATTTTCCCTGCAGTCTATATTATACCAGACTTTAGCCAAAATTTTTCATGCTTCTTACAGAAAATTCAACACCAAATCCCATACTTTTGTCAATTGAAAATACTATAGTTCTATACCAGTGTGACAGAAGGTATTTATTCCTCAGAACAGCCATATTATGTAAACAAAACATTAATGAACTCTTAATTTTTAAATGTTTAGATGTTAAAACTTTTATATTAGACTACTCTTGCTTGAAGTTAAAGTTAGCCTTTCATAGGCTAACTTACTAAAAAAAACTCCAAGAAAGCAATGAGAAAATTTTGTAGAAGAAAATTTAGAGCTATGGTTTAACAACTTGTTTAATATTTTTTTCATTAATTAAAAGAGGCAAATCTATGACTTTAAAAAAAAGTAGTTCTGCTGGGCGCAGTGGCTCATGCCTATAATTCCAGCACTTTGGGAGGCTAAAGCGGTGGATCACGAGGTCAGGAGCTCAGAACCAGCCTGGCCAGTATGGTGAAACCCTGTCTCTACTAAAAATACAAAAACTTTGCCAGGCATGGGGCAGGCACCTGTAATCCCAGCTACTCAGGAGGCTGAGGCAGGAGAATTGCTTGAACCCGGGTGGCCGAGATTGTGCCACTGCACTCCAGTCTGGGAGACAGAGTAAGACTACGTCTCGCCGGGTGCGGTGGCTCAAGCCTGTAATCCCAGCACTTTGGGAGGCCGAGGCGGGTGGATCACGAGGTCGAGAGATCGAGACCATCCTGGTCAACATGGTGAAACCCCGTCTCTACTAAAAGTGCAAAAAATTAGCTGGGCATGGTGGCACGTGCCTGTAATCCCAGCTACTCAGGAGGCTGAGGCAGGAGAATTGCCTGAACCCGGGAAGCGGAGGTTGCAGTGAGCCGAGATCGCGCCATTGCACTCCAGCCTGGGTAACAAGGGCGAAACACCGTCTCAAAAAAAAAAAAAAAAAAAAAAAAAAAAAAGACTATGTCTCAAAATGAAATGAAATAAAATAAAATAGTTTTATGTCAAAGATACCAGCTTTGCGTTCCTCCCCTTTCTGACCCCAGTCATTTTTCTTTTTCATCACAGACTGTATTCTCTTTTCCCTTTCCTCCCCTCAATTTCCTTCTTGCTTTCCACAATCATTTATTGAGTGAGAGCTTAGTATGTGGCAGGCCGGACATCTGGGGATTCAGAGATGACTATGACCTGTTTACTGCCTGTACCCTGCAGGTACAGGTGTGTCCTCTCCAATCTACTGGTACTAAGTTCCTGGAGTACTGAATCGGTAAGAAAGAGTACCCAGATCTATTAGTGATTTCTACCTATGGCCTGGCCTGTAGACAGAATAGCTGATACACATGTCGTGACCTTTGCTAACCCTTAGTCCAAGACAGCCACAGCTTTTTCTAGCTCCGTTTTTTGTTCCTACCCAGTCTCTCAAGCTGAGAACTTTAAAGGATTCTTTATCATTCTAGAACACTTCACCTTATATTTCCACCAAGTGCCTAGCCCATCAATCCCTAAATCATGTTCACCATTACCAATTAATTTCTCTCTCTCTCTTTTTTTCCTAGGGTACCAAGTCGTGATGGAGAAAAACATGAAACCGTTGATTCAGTTCATTGCAAATTCATTCTACCAAACCTTAGCATGGTTCTTGGCTGCTGCTCGGTAGTCCTTGTATTCATCTCTTGGAGACTCACTAATTAGTTTCCTACACCTGTGGTCTAAAAGCCTTCTTCATATTTTTAAAACTCACGTTTGATCTCTCCTTCCCCTTGCACTCAGAAGATGATCTTGCTTTCTGCTTTACTGAGAAGTTGAAGGTCATTTGCAATCTCTTTCAACTTTCTACTCCCATCCTATTTTCTATTTTCCTTCATCTCTCGCTTCCTCTGCTCTTTTGTTTCAGGGGAAGAAACAACCCTCTTATTTCTAGGTTGAACCCAACTTCTACAGAACTTTTTTTCTGTAAATAGTACGTTTTTTTCTTTTCTTTTCTGTTTTTTTTTGAGACAGAGTCTCAAAACCTCCACCTCCTGGGTTCAAGCAATTCTCCTGCCTCAGCTCCCGAGAAGGTGGGATTACAGGCACATGTCACCATGCCCAGCGAATTTTTATATTTTTAGTAGGCATGGGGTTTCGCCATGTTCACCAGGCTGGTCTTGAACTCCTGACCTCAGGTGATCAGCCCCCTCCTCCATCCACCTTGGCCTCCCAGAGTGCTGGGATTACAGACATGAGCCACCACACCTGGCCGAATTGTACCTTCTGTTTCTTAAAATCCTAAACTCTCTTGTAGTAGGTTCTTTAATTTGGAGAAAGTAATAAATAAAGCACAGGATTAAAAAGACAAATATGCATGTTTCCAAAACCCAGAATTGACTGTTAATATTATCATACACTGGCTTATCTTTTCTCTGATAAAAATGTTACAAAGTTGGCGTTTTCTTTGATCTACATTTTTGGTCATCTTGCCACATTTCCTCCCTCAAAGCAAGCCTATATAATATCTGCATGTATTCTTTGAGGTCATTAAAGAATACATTTATGTACACATATACCTAATAATATATGTGATTGTTTCGTGGGTAATTTAAAAATTTACATCCTTAATATTCACAGTCTGTTTTGTGATGTTTCTGTCTTCCATCCATGCTAGTATTTGTAGATCTATTTGTTAGTTCCCCGAGGGCAGGGACTTTGCCTTGCTCATTGCTGAATCCCCAGCACCTAGAATAGCATTTGGCATATAGTAAACATTCAATATATATTTATTCTTCTTTTTCTTTTCTGTTCTTTTTTTTTTTTTTTTTTTTTGAGACGGACTTTCACTCTTGTTACCCAGGCTGGAGTGCAATGGCGCGATCTCAGCTCACCGCAACCTCCGCCTCCTGGGTTCAGGCAATTCTCCTGCCTCAGCCTCCTGAGTAGCTGGGATTACAGGCACACGCCACCATGTGCAGCTAATTTTTTGTATTTTTCGTAGAGACGGGGTTTCACCATGTTGACCAGGATGGTCTCGATCTCTTGACCTCGTGATCCACCTGCCTCGGCCTCCCAAAGTGCTGGGATTACAGGCTGTGAGCCACCGCGCCCGGCTATATATTTCTTAAGTGAGTTAATATAGTTCATTTTTAACTGCTGTGTAGTAATCAACTGTATGACTATTCCATATATCACATTTATTTATTCATTCTATTACCAGCGGACAATTTGTGCTTTCCCAATTTCCATGCTTCTTATTACAAATGTTATGGAACAGCCTTGTACAAGTCTCCCGTGCCTGTGCTTGAGTTGTATCAGAGTTGGAATTGCCTGGTTGTCGCAAATAAGCTTTAAACTAGATATAGCCAAACTGCTCTTCAAAGTTTCCTGGTTTTAAAACATGTTCAAGAATTTCTCTCCACATTTCTTTTTCCCTTTGAGTGTTGTATACCGTGAAGGAACAGTTTTATTATTTCTTTCAGCATTTTAACTTTTCAAAATGATAATCTATGGCCTTAGGATCTTCCTGCCTGATGCTTGAAAGAACTAACTTTTGACTTTTAAGTTATATTAGCCAGCCTCCCCTTATAAAGATAATTAATGTAAATATACATATGTGTATCTGAGAAAACTATCACTTTGACCATAAAATTCTTTAAACAGAATTTGACTACTATAATGTTGCTTTTATGTAACTAATTGCAAACCATTCTGTTCTATTTATTACTACTTAAATACATATCTTTATAAATAAACTTTAAGATTTTCAAGGGCATAGGTTGTGTCTTACTCAACTTCTTACGCCCATAGCACCTAGAACTTAATGAATGGCATATTCGTATGGAAAAATTGTAACAATTTATATTTATGATTTCTTTTTACCTCCTAATAAAAAGAATTCAATTTTTTTAAGTTAATTTCAGAAGATCATCCTAAGTGGATGTTCTATACTTTAGCTGGTGGTCTTCAAACGGCGGCACATGTAACCCTCAGAGGCATGGAAGATGTTTCACGGAGTACCCAGGCATAAAGAGTTTTCAGGGAGCCAGTTTACAGTCAGTCTTCAACTTCCACGCTTTCCCTTTCATACATTTATTTTCTTTTTTCTTTTTCTAACTGTATGATTCCATTTATAGAAAGTATAAAACTATGTAAAACTGAAGTGCTGGTTATGTCTATTTCCTGGCCTAGATGTATTCAACTGTACAAAATTCATCGAGTCGTGTATTTTTTATATGAATGTGCATATTAAACTTCGATAATGAGTTTAAAATGTTTTGCTAGAAATCAGAACTGGAAAACTTAAGTATTAGATATCTTTGTTTTATAAGCCATGGGGGAAACATACTCTTATACGTGACTAGTAGGAATTAAAAATGCTACAGCCTTTATGGAGGGGATTTGGCAAACTCATCAAAATTACACATTTGTTTGCCATTTGCCCCCTTGACCCAGCAATCCCAGTTATGGAAGTGTATCCTAAAGCTATGCTTGCATATGGAACTGACGTATATTTAAGGTGATCCATTGCAGGATTATTTATAATGGCAGAACACTGGGAACAACCCATGTATTCATCAGCAGCTACTTAAACTCTGGTAGATCCACACATTAGAATATGATGGAACGGTTAAAAAGAAGGAAGAAGTTCTCTATGTGTTGATGTGGGAAAATCTTTTGGCTATATTGTTAAGGTTAAAAAAATAAGGTACAGAACAATGTATGTAATATAATTTTTTTATGAGAAAATGTGAAAAACAACACGTCTTATTTTTACAAAGATAAATAATTTATAAAGATATAATTATTTTATTTTTAGAAAGAAATCCTAGAAGGATAGCAAAGATATATATATCTATCTTTGAGTTGGCTCCTGGATCTTTTTGACCTCCACCTCCTGGGTTCAAATTATTCTCCTGCCTCAGCCTGTTGAGTAGCCTGACCAGTGCATCACCATACTCAGCTAATTTTTGTATTTTTAGTAAAGATGGGTTTTTGCCATGTTGGCCAGGCTGGTCTCAAACTCCTGACCTCAGGTGATCCAACTGCCTTGGCCTCTCAAAGTGCTGGGATTACAGGCATGAGCTACCGCACCTGGCCGTGCTATCTCCTAAGAAGTTACAGACCATGTGTGGTGGCTCATGCCTGTAATCCCAGCATTTTGGGAGACCGAGGCGGGTGGATCACCTGAGGTCAGGAGTTCAAGACCATCCTGACCAACATAACAAAACCCTGTGTCTACTAAAAATACAAAAATTAGCTGGGTGTGGTGGCATGTGCCTGTAATCCCATCTACTCAGGAGGCTGAAGCAGGAGAATCGCTTTAACCCGCAAGGCAGAGGTTGCAGTGAGCCAAGATGGTGCCATTGCACTCCAGCTTGAACAAGGAAAGTGAAACTCCATCTCAAAAACAAAAGCTTTGAATTTATTCATTGCAGCTTTAGCATTAGCATAGCAACTTTAGCTCGGGTATGACCGAAGGGCTTTTTTCTAGAAGAGCCTTACCCAGTAAGGTAGCTGCTAACTACACGTGACTATTTAAATTTAATTTTAATTAAAATAATATTTAAAAATTAGTTTTGGGCCGGGCGCGGTGGCTTAAGCCTGTAATCCCAGCACTTTGGGAGGCCGAGGCGGGTGGATCACGAGGTCAAGAGATCAAGACCATCCTGGTCAACATGGTGAAACCCCGTCTCTACTAAAAATACAAAAAATTAGCTGGGCATGGTGGTGCGTGCCTGTAATCCCAGCTACTCAGGAGGCTGAGGCAGGAGAATTGCCTGAACCCAGGAGGCGGAGGTTGTGGTGAGCCGAGATCGCGCCATTGCACTCCAGCCTGGGTAACGAGCGAAACTCCGTCTCAAAAAAAAAAAAAAAAAAAAAAAATTAATTTCATAGTCATATTAACCAAGTTTCAAGTAGTCAACAGTCACAGGTGACTAGTGGCTACTATATTGAAGAGTGTATATTATAAAACATTTCTGTCATTGCAGGAAGTTCTAATGGGCAGAACTAACCTAGAAGCCATAAGTATCTCTGAAAGAGGCATCATAACTCCTTGACTTTTGTGATGCTTCTGATGAACCTTGATGATGGTGTGATGATGAAAGTTACAGTAATTATAAAAAAACCAGTGCCATTTGTCTTTTATAATACCCCAGGCATTGTGCTAATCTCCTTTCATAAACATCTCATATCTCCTCTCATCAACATTGTGCTGTATGTATTATTTATTCTCACTTTACAATTGAGGAAATTGAAGATTCCCAGTGTCCAAGGTCACATAATTAGTATATACCAAGGCTGGGTTCAACACAAGTCTGTCTGACTCCAAAGCCCATGCTTTAAATTACTCTACCACATACCCTGTCTTATTAGACATCAGAGATGACATACATTATGGAAAATGAAGTTCCAATTCTCCCGCTTGTGACTGTCTTCAGCTAAAACAGCCTGAGATGAGGTAACTCAAACCTCTCTTTTTGAGTGTAAGGGAATATCTTATAAGTAATCCTGACATAGAAGAATGCAGTTTCATTATTTATTTTTATTGATTGATTTATTTTTAGAGATACAGTCTTGCTCTGTCACCCAGACTGAAGTGCAGTGGCATAATCATAGCTCGCTGCAGCCTCAAACTCCTGGGCTCAAGTGATCCTCCTGCCTCAGCCTCCTGAGTAGCTGGGAGTACAGGCACATATCACCACACCTGGCTAATTTTTGTGTTGTTTTTTTTTCCAGAGATGAAGTCTTGTTATGTTGCCCAGGCTGGTCTCAAACTCCTGGGCTCAAGTGATTCTCCCACCTCGGCCTCCCGAAGTGCTGTAATTACAGATGTGAGCCATCACACCTACCCAATTTCATTTTTCAAAAGGCTCAAAACTTGTGATAAAATGCAGCTGGCCTGAGCCATTCCTCCTTTGCAATGTTATCTATTAACATTAGACTATATAGCATAGTGATTAATGACTTGTATTTCGGTGTTAGAGAGGGCTCCCTTTGCCAGCTGCCCTAATTTTGTGCCTGAGCAAATTCTT